TTTGAAGGTGAAATCTAGCAGAATTTCGAAGATTATAAAGTACATCGAAGACATGAATTTTTCCAGACATTTCTACTCGGAATTAAATAAATTGGAAAAGTCACCTTGAAAAATAGGAGGAGGGTGTCGCCTTCTTTCCTCTCTGTAATGCTGCGGGGAGGGGAGGGAGAAAATCTCAATGTGATTTTGATCAGAAATGTTGCATTAAAATCATTTTAGGTTCTTTGAGACACCATTTCCCCATTCTCAAAATTGAGGTATTTTTTCATACGATACAGGATAAGTCTGAGAAGAAAGATTCATGCTATGATGATGCATACATAGCAGTTAAAAATTTAAACTAAATCTATTCTTCTTGGAACCATATCTACAACTGCTTTAACGAGATTTTACAAATCAAGTTCCTCCAGTATATCGTCTTTTTCCTCAGTCGAGACGTACTTAATCAGTTTCAGCTTCGAGCATGTATCGTGTACCCTCCTCCCTCCCCCCCTCATTTCTCTACGGATATAGCCTTTCTGAGAGAATGGTTTTTGTGGTAATTGGGGGGGGGGGGCTCTTTATATAACTTGATATTTTTAAGAATAAAACCTCCCAAAACAAACACACAACGCCTCTGCGGAGGAGAGTGCTAGGAAATAGTCGCAAGGCTTGGAAAGTCTAGCATTTTATCGGATTGTTTGCATGAAATCAATCGCTATTATGAAATATTCGGTGAAGAACAATATGAATTACACACAAGATGGCTGTGGAGGAGGCTATGGAAGGGCATAATCTCATTATCAAGTAAATCAACTGCAATGCTGACAGCAATCATGAGCAATTCTGCATCGCACTTCGGGGGCGCGCAGAAATGGCTTTACTGTGGGGGGGGGGGCAATTGCCCCCCAGTATATAGTTAAAAAAGGCACTGTGCTCATTTATTCTTCCTATTTTAGCACCTAAATAAAAAAAATTAAAAATCTACTAGTAATGTATGGTGCTGTAAAATGGGGTGAATTGGGACAAGTGTGAATGAACTGAAACAGGGACAATTGCTCCAATTCACCATTGTCCAAAGTTACTCCCCTTCCCAAACATTCAAAGAGAGAAGGGGATTCAACTCCCATTTCTCTCTGGATGAGGTGTGAATGTTTTCTGACATTATAGACAATTGCTTAGTATATAGACAGCATTTAAACTGAATGAAAATACTGAAAACCACTCCAACAATTCCACTCCAACATATCTGGCACACGGAGGAAATTGGACGTTAACCCCCCTAATAGTAAGTGTATTAGGACATCCGATGCGGATATTAGAAACAATTTTTTCTCCCCTCCGTAGGGCAGAAATTTCCTCGGTGAGGGGAGTGTGCATCTTTTCTGGAATGACCCAAAGTTCATAATGAAATTTGCAAATTGGTTTGTAAACAAAGCCTCTGATTGGCTACTAAAACAAACCAGCCAATCAAATGCTCAGTTTAAAAACCGATTTGTGATTTTCATTATCAGCTTTTCAACTTTGCAAAGAATTTGCGAAGTTCGGAACATTTTAGTGAAAACTAAGTTGAAATCGACAATAATTCTTGTTCAAATCAATTCCATACATCCATACATCCATTTTTCATTTCACTCCCCATTAGGGCTTTTTTGTAGTCGATTACATCAAGTATTAACACTATTATTCTGGATTTTTTATTAAAGGTGGCAAAAAGTTTGTCAAATGTGAACAAATAACCCAGATCTTATTTAGATCTGAACTTAATGTTATGGGATATATAGTTTTTAAGATTTTAAAAGTTTTTATCCGTGAAAAAGCACGTTCAACATGAATCCTAACAGAGGCAATTCGGCGAGTTTCAGTTTCTTCATCAATGGACAAGTGGTCCTTTTCTCTTAGAAATGGAGGGATATTGAGAGAAACACCCAGCGGCATATCACCTTCTATCTCAAAGCCTTTATCAGTCATGACAGAGTCACCTTCTTCTAACAAATTTAGAATTCCACAATCCAATATTATTTGTTTATCACTGCTTCGCCCAGCATAAAGTTCTGATACAAATGATACAGCTCCAAAAGGACTAATTTCAACCAGTCTTTTTGCAGTATTATGGTGTTTATAGTTAGAATATGTAGCACTTTGGCTTCTGAAAGAGCTTGGTGTTTCTACTAGAAATATTTCAGTGCAATCAATGATTACTCGGGTTGATGGGTACATTTCTTTGAATGCTGTTGGCATGTTTCGATCAACAGAAGATCTTGATGGCCATATAGGGATACTCCGAAACCAAGAGTGCAAAAAATCCAACCATGTGATAATTATCCTCGACATGTATGTCTGAGAAATTCCAGCCCTTACAGCCAGGTCCTCCGCTTCCAGCAGTCCTAGACGAAGGCGAACCAATACCAAGAAAAATTCTTGCTCGGGTGAGAATGATCTTTTAGGACCATGTTTCATTGCATCACTGGATGTAAGATTGTCAGGATTTGTATTGCTGCCATAATAAATAAGATGGTTTACTGCTTTTCCAAGGCTGTCAAACAGTGCTTTAAAAGTGGCATAATCCTGAAGTCCTGAATAAAACCTGATCAGTTTGGCATCATGTTTAAAATTTTCAACAGAGAAAGACATATTATTGCCCCCCCAAGTTTTGCCAAGTGCCGTTTTTCCGGGAGCAAAGTGCCCTTTTTTTGCGTGAAGAATTTTCATTAAAATGGCATTTTTTGCCCAAAGGGCACTTTTGAAAACTAGAATGCATGTTTTTCCGGAAAAATTTCTTCATTTCCGAGAAAAATATTATATATCCGGAAAATTTTTTGTATGTCCTGAAATTTTTTTTCGTATTTAGGAAAAAATGTGACATATCCGGAAAATTTTTTTGGGTATGTCCGAAATTTTTTTTGAGATGACCTCCCCCCCGTCGCCAACATTTCCGGGAAAAAATTTTTAGATGCCTTTTTTTTGGAAAAGTGCCCCTCAAAGCCTGCCCCCCCAACTTTTAGAAGCTTCCTACGCCCCTGATTCCCTCTCTTAATTGAATAACTTGAATATTATATTGCTCGTTCTCAGCTTGAAGTCTTTTGTTTTCTTTTGTTATCAAAGCAATCTTTTCCTCAAGAACATTTAACTCCTCGACTGTTTGTTTGCCAGCTGCAGGCATAGTTTCAGGATCATTTGGATCAATATTTTCAAGGTTCGAGTTTGCATCTTCCTCAATCTCGGAAAATAAACGGCTTCTACTCTGTGGTGTTGTTTCATTAGCATTGTTTTGTTTTGAAAGAATGTCCGGTTCCTGGCTTTTACAGTCGGTCTTGGATTGCAGGGTTTAGCTGGCTTTGTTACTTGCGAACTAGGTACAATGATATTTGTTGTGTTGGTGTAGTGTACTCAGGTGAATAAGATGCTTCTGATGTTACTCTGAGTGTATATCCCAGGGCCGTAGCAACCGGGGGGGGCGGCTGCACCCCCCCCCCCAATAATTTTCTAATAATCATTCTTTTTTCAAAATCATGCAGACCTTTATCATTTAATCCGTGACAAACTGCAAAGAATGAAGGTATTACCCATACTTTCCTGCAACTTATTCAATATATAGTTAATTAAATACGCCTTCGCCCATTTAGTACTACTTAATTGTAAATTTCGACATACTAAAACGCTGTTTTCTGACTGTCAGAATTCTGTCAAAACTTCCCCCAAGTGCAGGAAATGGCATTTCAGAGACTCCAAATTTAAAAATTTTCTCGGGACTTCGGCCCTCGCTTTCAGCCCCCCCCCCCCAATCGAAAAGAGCTTCCTACGTCCCTGTATCCACACCGGGCAGGCATGAAAAATACTGCCTGGCCACGGTGGGAATCGAACCTTTGGAATACTAGCCCAATGCTCTGCCAACTGAGTTACGCGGTCAGGTCGGTTCGAGTATGCGATATTTCGGAACCGAGTCTAGTTCCTTCGATATCAGTGTAGGTACAATGGTTGGCAAATTATTTGTATAAGTTTTCTTGCCTCCAGAAAAGTGCTCCGAACAAACTCTGTGACCTATCGTTGGCGTAAAATTTACCCGGGAAATCAAGCGTATCCATTTCTTTCGAAGTTCTACTGATTCTTTGCTTTTTCCATTTGGAAAATTGTAGAATGAAAGCTCGGGACATCGTTTGTTGCTGTTGTTGAAACAACCAGGGACACAACAGGTGAAGCCGCCACTAGATTTCGATTTTTTCGACGTACAGTTGGAATTCTCATCAATATTTTTAGAGCTAGTTAACATTCGTCCACCCGGACAAGAGCTCTGAAAAGAACTGGGGCTTTCGTTTGCCAGCATAGCGTCTAAAAGATCGCGAACAACTTCAGCACAAGTGAGCTCAACATTCCGTGTTGATTCCATGTTTTAGCCTTTTTGGAATTTATGGAATTTGACTACTAAGACCAGAATTCAGTTAACCTTTATGACGTAATAAGGCGTAAGGTCTATTATCCTAATGCGCGAGTTACACCGTTAGTCAATAGGTTCGGTCAATCAGCGCGCGACCTTCACTTGCAAAGCGTGAGTCACGCGTTAGTCATATACCATGAGTCACGCTTGTCAGGCTCGGATAATCATCGCGCGGCGCAATCTCTTTCATACAGCATACAGTCATGCGTGAGCCACGCTCGTTAGGCTCGGTCATCCCTTTGTTTAAGTATATGGGTGGGGGATCATCTACTCAGAGCGAACAAGAGGGCACTATAGGAGACTGCTAACCCTCAGTGATGATAGTATAGCCTGAGGCTATGCTATTTTGACAAACTTTGCTAGTATAATAATATCAGATTTAGTGCGTGGAATACCGCGTGCATGAAAATCTGTTGGTCGCATAGTATATAAAGCCGCATTTCTGAATATAAAAATTTTTAAAGTTATAACAGTAAGAGATATAACAGTATTTTTGATAATACGTTTTAGCAAAATTATCATCGCTGCTGTTAAAGATGAAGCTGCAGTCCTCATGACAGACGATGCATACGTTGCTCTTTCCATGCTTACAGCAAAACTGGTTACGTCCGTTGATTATAGAGGTTCATTCGCAATGATTGGATTTTCAGAGGAAAGGAAACCTTCTTTTGTAAAACACGTAAGTGCATTAGTTAATAAATTAAGGACAGTTTATGAATTAAATCTAGTAAAATGAAGCATGCAAAAACATATTGCAGGGATTAATCTCCGGTGTATATGATTATTGGGTAAATATTTGGGATTTTGAGCATCTTTACTTCGATTTGCATTTTTCGCAACTGCTCCTGGTTTGGTCCAACAAATGTATAAATTTACACACGAAATTTCCATTCACAAAACCCTTCTGCAATGCTGTTTTTGTCGCCAGGCAAAGTTACATGACGTTTTCTCCATACGATGTTGTAAAACGTCTTTAAAGTCCCAACCTCAACTGAGCCCTTGACTAAATAAATACATTCCCCTTTTCGCACGAAGAACTTTATGACACCATCTCTCTATTAATTAAAAAACCATCCTCCTTTCACAAGAAAGGAACACATCGCGTCTACGATAATTGGCATATAATTTCACTTTGAAAGTTGTGCTGCGTTTTCATTTAATTAATTTGCTTATAAGTAAAAAGTCACGTCCAGTTAATCTCTCCCCTCCCAGCAATAGCTAGCCCACCACCTAATCAAAAACGTGTCTGAAATAGATAATGATAATAATAATAAAGGGACTACGGTATATCGATGTTTTATATTTATCTTTCAGGTGCAAAATGCTGACGCGCCCAGCGTCATTGAACAAATAATCCGCATTCCAGTGATTAACAACTAGACACATTTTATATATATATATATATATATATATATATATATATATATATATATATATATATATATATATATATATATATATATATATATATATATATATATATATATATTACTTGGGGAATATAAAACTGAGCTAATATACCTAGTTTCAAGAATTATAAATGAAAATAAAACTACAACATAATTGCAAAAATGCCGTTTAAAATTTCTTGGTTTTACTAAAAACTTTACAGTGATACCAGCAAACTCAATATCCATCAGGATTGAGTGTTGATCTGAAAAGTAAATACTGTTGACTTACGGAATACTACATGCTCGGTTGTCATGCACATTTCTAATTAACCAAGTTTCTTTCCCAGTTTGGTTTTCATTTGAGTAAAAACTGTAAAAGCCGTACTTTCTCGCCTTAGAAGCCCATACGGTTATCAAATTCGATTATTTTTCCCGAGCCTAAAACCTAAAAAAAAAGAAGAAAAGAAGATACATTAAAATTGTTCGAGTGAGCGGGAGTTCGAGTTAACGGGGTCGGTATTGAATTAACGTACGTGGCGGTCACCAAATTACTGTGTGAGCAAATACGTCGAAAAAACTTAGATTTCTTTGTTTTTGTATTATAAATATTTGCAGCAATGGATGCATTTTTCGTTAACTGGCGGCGGAACACGCATTTATCCATTAAGCACATATTATAGCCAGGATAAGAATCTTATACAACTATAGTCGTATCGTGTAGACTGTAGATAGGCTTTAAAGGGGGCAGTAGACTGTAGATAGGCTTTAATTGGCTAAAATAAACGACGCAAAGAAACATTTAAAATTAATGCTACATGATTGGAAAAGATGCAGCAGCCTTCAATTTTTAAAACAAAGCAAGGATGTCCTGCATGACGAAGGGATTATTAATTGTTGGCAGACAGTTTTTCAAGTTCGCGCATATTTTGGATGCGCAGTAGAACCGTGACACTGCCCTTTAATAATAAGCTTCTTTAGCCAAGTGCATGTTAGTGTTATTAAAAATTTTGTAAAAAATTGTATATGTCCGATCAAATTTGCCTTCTGTACGACCAAATTGGAAATTGGTCAGACATATGTCCTGTCAAGAAAAAAGATTAGTTATTTGCAGCCCTGTTATGTTAAATAATTAATAAGGTATAGTCGTTTCATTATTCATCACAATAGACCATATCGATTATTCTCTTTTACCCAATGGCCTCGTTTCCATGTTAACTCATTTTTAGCATGTCAGGGGCAAAATTATATTCCCATGTTTTCCTGGACGAATTTGTTTCTTGCTGTTCTTAGGCTCAATAACAAAGTAATTTTCAACCCTACTAAGCACAAAACATGAGTAAGTATTTGACAGGAAAACGTGGCCATTGGGTCAAAAGTGAATAAACGGTAAGGTCTATTGTAATGGCTTACGGTGCACCCTATAAGAACTTGCAAAGTTTGTACTACAAGCTGTTACCAAAGTTAAACTGTTCTTATATCAGTACCTACCTACAGTACCTATAAGCTAGATGAGTAATGATCGACGCAACTCGTTGAACCTTTTATCTAGTTTATCGATTTATATCACGTTTGTATATATTATATACCGATTAAATTGTTGTTGTCTGAACAGAAATCCAATCTTCCGACTTGTCCATGCATGCATGACAAGACAAGATTTATTTGCTCCTTTCAACTTACAATTATATACACAAAGAAATTATTCATATTTGTTAGCATCATTATTATTAGTAAAATATATTTTGTGTTCTGTCACTTAACTGTTTTCTAATTCTTAATCCCTGATATAAACACAGGGCTAGATAAATAACAGGGAATCAAATAAAGGATAAAAAGAATTATGAAAATTGACAATATAGTTCTATATCAAGTAAATTAAAAAGATCAAGAAGGGAGTACTAGTCCTGACTCCCAATAACGTATAGAAAAAGTTGGAAACTGAATCAACACTTTCCAAGAAAATCGAATCTAAGTTTATATTCAATTTGAGAAATCGACAAGTCTTTGTATGATTCATGCGAATAATTCCAAATTTTAGCGCCTTGATATCTAATATTGAAAATTGCGAAAATTGTTCTTGCTTTTGGTACTAATGTTAATTTAGAAGCAAGCCTAGTGTTTTGAGAGTAACATTTTGAGGCTTGACAATCCACGTCTCAAAAATATAGTTCGAGTTAACCTGGTAAATTTGACCAAGGAAAATGAAATTTGTTCGAATTAGCGAGGAGTTCGAGTTAAGCAAGTTCGAGTTAACTAAAGTAAATTACTGTAAAATTCGGGACGAATCCAGGGGGAATTGGACTCAGTTCGAGTTAGCGGGGAGTTCAAGTTGAGCGATCGAGTTCGAGTTAGCGGAGTTCTACTGTACATGGATACATTAGAAAATAATTGTTTACCATCACTCTATACCAGCCTTTAAATATTACTATACAATGGAAACCAACGTCTTATGTTGAAACTCAGGCAATAAAGCCCAACCAACCAACATCGTACCCGGGGCCTGCCCGCCTGATTTTTTAATTGCCAAAGCAAGCGAGGCCCTCAGTGCCGACACCCTGGTAAATGCTGGTCGACTCCAAGAATTTCGGACATTACATAGTGACATCAGGGCTGCAAATAAATATTTGACTTGACAGTACATTTGTCCGATCACTTTTAATTTTGGTCGGACATAACTTGAATTTGGTCGGACAAAAACCAACACCGCTAAATTTGGTCGGACAAATATACGTCACAAGCTATATTAATATTATAAGTCACGGGACAAGTATGTATATCCATTCTGGCGCAACGTTATTGCAAAATGCAAATTGAGTGAATTTGCATTGGATTTTGTCACAGCAAAAAATGTATGTGACAATTTTTTTTGTGATCGGACCAATGTCCGATCAAAACTACTTTTGCTCGGATATTTGCCAAATTTAGTCGGACATTGTCCGATGTCCGACAGTAATTTGCAGCCCTGTGACATTGTTACTTTTCTGATCTGACGTGAATTGCTAGAGGTGAAACTTGAAGACCAACAGTTTCTATCTCCAAAATTCTTCAATCTTCCCTGTGAATTTTGCATTTCAAGCTTTTCTAACAACCTCGTTCCCAGGCTATTCCCTCTTGTGGAGGAAAGACGCTGGTCGGAGCTGGTCACGTGTCGCGCATAGAAAATTAATACTCTGAGAGGGTGATGGAAAGTCTAATATTACATGTTTCCACTTCCGCACTTCCCACTTCGATTGCAAGGAGTGACCGTTCTGTACAATCATCATTGAGAATCATATATACTGCAAAATACTTGCTAAATTTGGTTTCTGTTTGCTTTTAAATTATACAAACATGCTAAACTGTAGAATCTTATACCAACAGACAAGTGAAGAATCGAGCAATGAAAACGTATGATCGTATGCTTTGAAATATTTGCTTCTTTACTTCTTTCTCGCCCCATCTAAGGTAATCCACGCACTCCTTGATTACAGTCCGGATTCCACTTCTTGGATTGCAGATTCCTCTCTTGGGATTCCGGATTCCAGATCGGTCGTGGATTCCGGATTCCAGAAAATTGGCCCA